CAAAATGTGCGGAACATTTCGCGACAAAGTGTACAGTGCCGATATTGTTCTGATTTGTCACGCTATGCACAAAAACCCATGTTCACCTGAACAAACCTTCCCTCCAATGAATTTATTTGATAGTGAAAAATGAAAACAGCTCTTTCGCAATGGATGATCTCAAGAATATTTATTTTAACGATTTTTCGATGAATGCGACTCAAAATTCAAACGGTTACACCAAGCAGCAATTCCCAGTAATGGTTTCGCATACAAATCGATATTTTCAAAATTCTCATGACACTTTCCAGCACATTCAACCGTTCGACAATTCGGCACGCAGACAGGAAGTAACTTTGTGACCCTCTATCAACACATCGAATGTTGCTGATGCACTCAACCAATTTTGCACGATGATATTATACTTTTGCTAAAAAAGGACCAACTAGTTCTCCTATAGTGGTAGAAAATCCGCTTCTGCTCACTATTTTTCTTCCAACTCGAAAATCTTTGATTTAAAAACCAAGTAAATAGACGTCTGCGCCAACGGAAAAACTAGGGATCACTTATAGGAACTTCTTCTTTGTCGGCCTAGTAATAATTCTTGATGACTGAGTGTTCGCTACTCCCAAATTTGTTCCTTAGCCCAGATGCGGGACGACCATAGACCAAAAAACATGACAAATAGTACCTACCTTGATATGCTCTGTAGAGATCATTTATGTAATCAGAACCATTGGAACCAATGTTCATGGATTGCATTTGATTCGCAACAAGTACGTCACCTCGCATCTAGAAAAAACTTCGGAAAACTTGAACCGAGCAAAGGGTTGGGCCTAGGCTAAAAGCAAAGCTGAGCAGTGGTTTAGGCGTCGATAACGATAAAGCACCAATAATGAATTTGTGGAAATGTAAATATGGGTAAGTTCACCCTCTTTCAACCGCACCATAAAAAATTGAATGAACTTTATTTGCAATACATCGCACAGTAATACAGAATACATGATAAAACAGGCAAATATACCCAATCATCAGAATAAGAGAATTACTTGAGTATCAATAGAGCTATATAAACCAGTAACGCTGCAACATAAATTAAGATCTTGATCAAAACATCTGTTAAGAGATGCCTAGCACTGCGAAAGCTGAGAGGAACCCTTACTTTTAAGTGAGAATCGGGATCAACTACTATTCTACATCAACATTAGTCTACAAGGCACGACGACAAGACAAAAAAAAATTGTCAGAACGACGAATGAGCAGCGACATTACCAAAGTGAGCTTTTTACAAAAGAAGACAGGGTAGAGAACCATCCGCCTCCATCTTTTTGTGCACTGGCGTAGTCATTTGTTACAACACATGACTTAGGATCGATTACTTCGAGATCGTCCAGATATTCTGGCAATTTGACAACCTGAAGTACACAAGGAAAGTGATCAAACTTTCAAGGAGATGAGTGAAACACAAATTCTCTAACAGTCAATCTTTCAGTTCTTACTTTGCACCCAGTGTACTTCGACCCATGAGCTTCGAAAAGAAAAAGCGAAAAAAAACTCAATGTAGTAAGATTAGCCGATATGTTGGCTTTGGTAGGTAAGCCAAAGCCTATGAATAGCCTACTCCTCCCGCCCTTTGACTTCTTTCCCTTCACAAACGGACCGATGAGGGAGGAAGACAACTATAATTTTAGAGAAAAAAAACAAAGCACGATTTTGCACGAAGCAAAGTTTCTAGTTAAGACACTGGAAACTTTGAGTGCCTGGAGGAGCAGAAAGAAGAGAGCAACTGAGTGAACAAGGGAAACCACTACCAACCTTCTTTTCCCGTTCGCTTGCATACATTTTGAATAGTTCGTCAACACCGTCCACTTTCACCACTTGGGTCACCATTTCACATCCACAGTCAAATAGCAAGTCAGTTATCTCCTGAAAAAAATCCAAAAAATTAAGTACATATTGGAGCTGACTTTGCAGGCCTTGACTAATTTACACGAAATACATAACCAAACTAAAATAGCAGCAGCGTGGCCAATTTTTCAATAGTACTAATGATAGCAGTGAGAAGTAAATTGCAGGAACTGGTAACTGAGAGGCTTATGAGAATGCTTACTATGACAATGAAGAAAAATAGCTCCAAGATGATGTAAAACAGAAGAGTTAAGAATCAATTT